CTCTCTAACTCTGCTATATTCAACAAAACATTTAAAGGAACACAACCAACTAACTGAAATCATTACACAGGGTGTGATTCACACTTAACAGCAGCCCTCTGCTTAGCCCCACATAACCACACAGGGAATGTTATGACTACTCTCATCGCCATTGCTGTGATGTCACGACCTGGTGTTCAGGCTTTCCATCTATAGGGGGGGGTGGCCTGGCCGCCAGGGAGCTGCCGCGCTCTCCTTTGCCAGTGTGTGGGAGGGGCCCTCCGGTGGCCTCTCTCTAGGGCTTGTTGCTTCTCTTCCCGCAACGGGCCTTGCGCCTAGGGCTATATATAGTAAAGTGTTCCTTACACCTGTGATGTGTAGTCAACCGGACTGGCTAAAAATTCTGATGAGTTAAACAAGACAACTTTTCTAATTGGACAGCAGATTACCAAATTTGCAGGTAGCAGGTTCTACCTTGGAGACATCTGACCTACTTTACATGGAGGCGTATGTGTGAATGTGTGTGTGGAGCTGCCTCCTTGGAGCAGGATGATGGTGTGGGCTAAGTGTCTACCAAATCCCTTCTGCTGCTATAATTCTCTTCTGCGTAAGCATTTGGAGGTTTGGGTTTGTTTTTTTTAAAGAATAATATGTTACTGTCTCTTTATTCAATGTACCTCATTTTTGTTTAGAGAAATGTACCGTACCACTCTTGGATCATGGAGTATTCTTTGATACAAAGCCCACTTACATAATATGGGAGCATCTACAATACAGTTGCAATTCAGGCTACTTGACTCTTTTTTTAGGAATGGAACTATACAGTGTATTCCAGATGGATGTTCTCCTCAGCCAAGATGCATGGAAGCAAGTGGTATTCCTTCAGGTAATTCTTTTCTCTAAAGAGTTCTTAAGGTTTCAAGGTAACCCCGACTGACTTGAAAAAGTTTAAATGTATATTAATTTTTGTCTTTGTTTATAATATTCCCAAAGATCAAAGAACCATGAGCAGAAATCTCTGCTTCCCCTGCAGTCCCTCATGCCACACAAAAAAACTGTTCCTTCAGCATTGCAGGGGTGGGGGAAAGGCACAGGAATGACAGATTTCTCCCCGTCTGCTAATGCAAGGGCATCTCTGCATCCCAACCCTGTAGGATGAGAGATTTTAGAAAAATCCTGTATAGCACTGAATCACCCAAGTTAGTAGCCACCATTAGTGCCAGAAAACTTAATTAACAAGACTTAAACATTTTATAGATGTCCCTGAACTAAAACCTGAAAATTTGGGCATTTCAAAATGTGAAATTTCAGGTTCAAAATTCATATTTGTATTGATTTTTTCTGGTTTTAATATTAATGACATTTTGGAGAGTTTCACTACAAAAATATCCGTTTAATTTTCTTTGGTAAACTCTCCAATATACTTATGAAAGAAAAGTGATGTGGGTCTAACATGCAGAAAGTTCAAATGAGGGGAAAAAGTGAAAGTTAATATTCTGGTGTACCAAAAAACCTAAAGCATTTCAGTATATATTATACTTGACAAATGGCCCAGGCTAGCCTGCACGTGTCAGTTTTCAGGATCTAAGCAGGTCAACCCTTGTTAGTATTTGGATGGATGACCACCAAGGAAGTCCAGGGTTGCTATGCAGAGGCAGGCAATGGCAAACCACCTCTGTATCATCTTTTTGGTCTCTGTGCAGTCCTACACATGGGTTCTGTGCCTGTGCTTGAACCCAACCTCAAAGAACTACAAAAGCTAGCCTCTAGTTTTGGCGTGGGGAACAGACACCAACTGCGCACGTCTGGAGTGGGTCCATAATGGGATGTTTGCCTCTATCTTGTTTCGGAACAATGAAACATTGGGAGTAAAATCCATTATGATGTTGAGTTTGAGGGACATGTTCTATGGCTCCTTTGGCCAGGAGAGTGTGAACTTCCTCTTGAAGGAAACTGGAGGGAGGAGTCGCCACAAAATGAGGGACCTGCAGGGCTGAAAGAAACTCAATGGCGTATCCTAGGCGAACGGTGGTGAGGACCCAAGTGTAGCCTGGTCTTTTCGCCAGGACCCTTGTTTGTTCATGGCTTACATCATAAAATCTCCTCTGAATGCTTGGCGAAATGGATCACCTGTACTATCTGGCTCTGTTACGATCTGGCGAAACAACCTTTACCTGTCACGCTGAGAGCCCACTCGACTAGGGCTGTCTCCGTGTTGTCAGCTTTTCTCGAGGGTATCCCCCTGGAGGACATCTGCGCTGCTGCCACATGGTCCTCGCGAACGACCTTCGTGACGCATTCTGCCCTTGATGTTCGGGCACAATGGGATGCGTCTTTCGGCCGATCAGTGATGCGATCCATCTTCCACTGATGGTTGACATCCTTCACCTACCAGGTAGGCCATTATGGGTTGACATCCTTCACCTACCAGGTAGGCCATTATCTTCTTTCTTTCTTTTCACTGTGTGGTGGATTTTCTTCTCTACTGTGGAGCTGCTAGCACCCACCATCCTACTAGTGAAGCTCGCTAAACACCCATGTGTGGGATTGCACAGAGACCACAAAGAAGATAAACAGGTTGCTTACCTGTAACTGATGATCTTCGAGTGGTCATCTGTGCAGTCACACACGCCCACCCAGCCTTCCCCACTCTTGGCATCTCCCACACATATTGCTGTCTTCTGGGACTTGCTAGTAGCGGTTGGAAGAAACTGAGTTGGAGGGCGTTTCCTTCCCCGCTCTAGACATGCACAGTTGGTGTTTGCCCCCCAGAGCGTGGGAAGGAAGCACGGCAAAGCTAGAGGCTAGCTCTTGTAGTTCTCTGAGGTCGGGTTTGAGCGCAGGCACAGAACCCATGTGTGTGACTGCACAGATGAGCACTCGAAGATCATCAGTTACAGGTAAGCAACCTGTTTTTGTCCCTTGCCTTGGAACCCCTAGAGGGGTCACTGTAAGTTGGCTGCAACTTGCCGGCACTTTCCGCCACCATACATGAAACACTGATGAACTGACAGTTTGTTTTGTGTGATGGCAGCGGTCTCAAGCCAGGACCCCAGGAACCAGGCCCTTTTTGGTAAGCCACCTTCTTGTACTTAGTCAAAGGAAGGAGCTGCTGACATGCTGTCTGTGGTTTTTAGGCTCTGCTAGTACTGCAAGCCAGAAAGATAGACTGCAGCTATTAGACTGCCCAAAGGGCCAACAGCATGCCATATGGCCCAATTATTAACACCTAAAATACTCACTTGACTCTCTGCATCTAACCAACTCAGTGCTTGTGTCATGGCTACACTAAGACTATGCATTTGTGTCTGTATTCATTGGCTATTCTGAAAATGCCCTTGCCCTTAACAACTGCAGGGCAGGCCTAAAGTTCTCCCAGAATTATCCAGACTACAAAGAGCTGTTCCTCTGGAGGAAATTACAGCTTCAGAGGACGAATGGTACACCACAGAATCTAGGAGAAATGGAAGTGATATTATATTTTCACTGAGTCTCCCGTCTTTCACCAAACTCCACCTTCCCCAGGCACTGCCCCCAAATCGCCAAGAATCTTCCAGTCCAGAGTTGACAACTCAATCTAGATTTAACTGCTCACCCTAAAGTTGTGGATGAACAAATGCACTCAGGGCACTTGAGTTCGCTGAAGTATCTAGTTTGTTAGTTTTGTTGATGGTTACCAGTTGGTTGGAGACCACATAGCAGAGGAAGCAGAGTGCCATCCTGACGAATAGTTTGTTATTCCAGAGTACACTAGTATGCTGATTTCTGCAAATGCTCACTGTCTTTCTATCCTTACACCATTCCCTGTGTCTATCTGGTTGTTCTGTCTTTCCATGCAAAAAGGCATTCAACCACCCCTTGTTTTTTAAGAGACCTGTTTAGCACCACAGTTGCTCCATGGCCGCTACTCTACAGCCCAGAAAGTTTTCAAGCTGAATGAAGTACTCCAATATGAATGTGATGATGGATACCAGTCGGCAGGAGGCAACACAGTGTTCGAAGTACGATGTGGGCCTGAAGGATGGCTCTTTACTCCAAAATGTACTAGTAGGTTGACTTACAATTTCCTCATGTTGAATTGTCTTGCTGTTAACCATTTTTGCTTGTGCAGAAGCACTTAAGTTTTCAAAATATGAAAATAAAAACATGCTTTCTTTCAGTCATCCATTACTTTTTTTTTTTAAAGAAACTGGATGTTCAACACTGAATCCTGTAGAACATGGAGGTCTCCATCCCAGGAAGGGAAGCTACAAAGAAGGAGATGTGGTTCAGTTTTTCTGTGTGGAGGATTATTCTTTAAGAGGTTCAGAGTTAATTCAGTGCTATTACTTTGGCTGGTACCCAGAGCCTCCAGTATGTGAAGGTAAATCTTTTACATCCTCCATGTTTCCCTGCGTCCATATGATGGAGATAGTAGGGGAAAGACAGTCTGGTTCATAGAGTGATAGATGGGAAACCTGAGTGAGAGTCTTAAATCAGCAGCTCACTCAAACTGGTTCAACAATTATTCCCTCTCCCTAGGTATTCCTGAAATTGTTCTATGAAAAGGTACTACAATTTTCCATAGAGCTATAGTTCCCAGCATTCCACGAAAAGGAATCCATAACAGCATCCTGATCACAAATATTTGCCATAGAATATTATAACACTAGCACAGTACCACGTTTTGTCATGTATTGATAATAGCTGCGTGTACAACCCATTCAAAGCTCTTATGTGACACATCCGCACAGAAGAGTTAAAGTAGCAGTGTGGCTGAGAAACTGAACTAGGTACCAGAGATACCCCTGACCCAAGCCTTGCCTCTGCCTTGCTGTCTGGCCTTAAACAAGCTCTCTCAACCCCCCCCCCCCATTGTGACAACAATACTTTAGCGTTGTTGCAATAATGTCTTAGTTATATGTGAAGCCCAGCCCTGCCGTGCTATCCTGATCTTGTCAGATCTCGGAAGCTAAGTAGGGTCAGCCCTGGCTGTGACTTGATGGCACTTTACACACACACACACACACTCACACACCCCTTAGTGTGTTCAAAAAAGTAATATACAAATGCTGACAGGTTTTCAGAATAAAATGTATAGCAGATGGAAGCCTTCTGCATTATTTGCTATGAAACCATTAGGTTGTGACATGAGAGGAAAAGTCTGAGATGTAGAAGGCCAGCTAGCTCAGCAGTCTTTTCAGACCCAGGACCTGCTTCAACTCCTAGAAGGCATCATGGGACCCATCAAGCAGCAACCTGGTGACAGGAAGTCATGTGACATCATGAGGAAGAGCCAGTTGTAAGCTGGTACACCAAGCCGGCTGGGGACAGGAAGCCGAAGCCGAGCACCAGGAGATATGCTGCAATGAGCAACAGGCCAGGACAGTCCAGTTCAAAAGCTCTCCCTTGCCTTATCTTTCTCTCCCCACTTCTGATCCAGCCTGGCGACCCTGTATTTCTGCTATTCAGGCAATGTTTCTCACCTGTGCTTACAATACACATTCAGCTTTTTGAGAGGGTGCATGTGCATTGGCAGTTGGAAGGCTGAGTGATGTTGGAAGGCAGAGGTTGGGGTGGGATGAGAGGGTGAAAGAGGGGGTTTCATTGGGGGAGGAGGCCTCTATGCCACAAGCATGTATATGAATCACTGGAGAACCAACTTTTGGGAGCGGTCACTAAACCAGGGAAAAGAGAGGAGGCAAGGGAGATCTGTCGTAGGTTGGGGGATAGGACTCAACTTCAACGTGCTAAGTATCTTCGTTACTGAGTAACTTCTCACATAATACTGTAATATCATTTGATTGAGGGCCCCCTCAGTTTTATCTGATAGCTCTCCTAATCTCCTTGCTGTTGCTAATTTTTCTTTGTTTGGATACAAAAGATCAAAGATGATATTTATCAGATGAGGGTACATGACTGCTCAAGACAGTTGATCAAAAGAGCTTTAATTAGATTAAAGGAACTGAAAGACCCTGAAACTGTTGTCCAGAAGTCAAGTTTACTTTGGTGTAGAACTTGCATTTCTTAAGGTTTATGTAGTGAAGCTTATATAGCACAACCAAATTTTTGGTGCCTTTCCCCCTTTTCTTCAGCAAGAAGAAACAAGTGTCCTCCTCCCCCTCAACCTCCTAATGCCAAATTACTGTCCAGTTTAAGACCATACCAACATGGGGATGTGGTGCGTTTGGAATGTGAGCCTCATTTTCAAATCAGAGGAGCTGCAGAAGTACGGTGTGAGCATGGCAAATGGACTTCACCTCCCAAATGCACGGGCCAGTTACCTGCTAGAACTGACCATCGAGAATTAGAAGGTATTTAAATTTTGGAACATTGTTAGCTTCGTGGTTTTGGAATTGCAGCTAGATTATATATTTCTGCTGAAAAAATACCTCTTGGTTCTCAGTTCTGACCTTAAATTGTGATTCATTCTTGCTATGTGAGCAGATGGTTCTTGTACATGAAAATTGTCTCTTCTCTATGGATAAGGAAGCAGGAAGAAACTGACATTGGTTCCTGTTTTTCCCTCTTCTGGGGCAATTTAGCATTAGCTTTAAAAAGGCATAAGGGGAAATCCCCCACCCCAGGTGTTTGTAGCCTCTACAGCTTCATTTAAAAAAAGAATGAATTCATGTGAATGAGCATCATCAGGAGTTGAACTTTGGAAAAATAGTATCCAGAGACTAATGAGCTTATATTTTTCATTATCTAAGCCTCCCCTGGCAATCCTCTCATTCCCTTCAGCCTACCAGCTTGGCTCAGCACCTGAGCTAAGTCACTGAGGAGATGCAGAGAAAACGTATTTGGGATCCTTCTGTCCAAATCAGGGAAGTGGCCACCACCAGAGAAGTGCCAGTAATGGAATTGTCCCAGTATAATATTGGAAGAGATTGTCTACCTTGACCAAGCGCATGTGTGTGGGAGGAGGTTGAACTCATCCTTCCCCAGTTCCTCCCTGCCTTCCCCCCCCCCTTCCAGGAATGTCATTGTCTTTGCTTGACTTCGCAGTTGGCTGGAGTAATTTCTCGAAGAGTCAACTATTTTAGTTTCTGAAATAATTTTACTCCACTAAATGCCTAATTTAGCAGGAAACACAGATAGGAAGTATTTTACACCAAAGGAAAATATAGCTGGACTGGCTAGAGAAAAACAAAGCAGTGCTAGCTAGAGTTAACTGACACTATGCTGAACACCTCCTTGTGTTTTGGGGATTGGCCAGTCTTTGCTTCACCTGTGAATAAGCTTCCTGAGACATTTCCAAGATTCCACAACCTGAGGAACATTAGGCTGACAAAAGAGTGCTCGCCTGCCCCCTACCCTGTCTTGGATTGTAGCTTAGAGTCTCTCCTTGTTTGGGACCAATGACGACTGGGGGCTTACTCTCCAGTTTCCACCACAATTCCCACCTGTTCAGAGGAGAAGTAACAGCTCAGGGATGCTTTACCACTTGCCTGTTTTTCCCCAGATGATGAATTGCCCTAAAAATGCCACTCTGCCCCTTCAGTGCGGGTGGGGATCTGATTACCCATTCCAGTAAACGAATTCATATTATTTTAGTATCAAAGGGATCCCCATTCATAATACTGTTGCGAGCTCTTAATTTCCAAGCTAATACCACCTATCAACCTAATCCTGAGAGCCAGCATTGGTATAGTGATTATTATAGCATTGGACTAGGATCTTTTTCAGGTAGGAAACTTAATGGGTGACATTAGTGATCGTTTCAGAGGATAGCCATGTTGGTCTGCAGTAGAACAGCTAGATTCGAGTCCTGTAACCCTTAGAGACCAACAAGATTTTCAGCATAAAAGCTTTCAAGCGTCAAAGCTCCCTTCATCAGACGTGACATTGGGACAGTCAGTCTAAGCATGACTAAGGTTGTAAGGATAAAAATGGGGAATAGAGAACCTGACTGCTTGGAAGGTGTGACAGATTTCCTGGGGATCAGACAACACCCTGAAGGAATGATCCCCCCCCCCTTGCAATTTCCTGCCTATCACACTGCAGTGGGGTTTTCAGTAGTACTGAGAAAGGTTTGAGAGGAATAAAATCTTAGCCTGGCTATAACCCCTGAATTGATAACTGAGGGACAAGAAGGTAAATTGACAGGAACAAGGTGGTTTGCTTTTCAAAAGTGGACAAGAACAAAGTCTATTCAGAAAGAAACACACAACTGAGGTAAATATTAACAATCAAGCAGGAGATTGGGGATGTTAGGTACATATCCAAGTGGGGGACCTCTCAGGCAGATTTATAATATATAAATGAAGGACTCTGCTGCATATCAGGCCCAACAAACCACACTGGTGTACTGTAATGCCTTTTTACTCTCAGTTACCCAAACAGGGAACTTAAAGCAAAGATCTAGTATCTTTACAGGTAAAACAACCCTTCTCATTGTTGAACCTCTAACTCTTAACTTGCAAAACCTCACCTCACTGGTTACTATCCCAGAATTGACTGGTTCAGAGTCCCTCTCTCATGAATTATTTTGTTGCTGGGGTATATTTTTGTACTACCTGTCACAGAAAGCTGGGATAAAAGCAGCTAGATAACTAGAAGATGTGCCAAAATATGCACTATTAAGTAATCATACCGGCCACATATTTTCAAAAGGACAAAGGCATCACTGGAGACCTCTTTATGCTGTGTTCCTTTCTGCAAATTTCTTGTTTGTTTCTTAGATGTGGGCAGAGAAACAAGCAGTGCTGGTAGTGCCAGTTTGAAAACTGATGGGAGCTGTGGATCTCCACCTCCTGTGGAAAATGGTTTCATTCTTGGTTTGTTGCTGACAAGCTACGAAACTGGCTTCTCAGTGGAATATCAGTGTTTCAGGTATCACTTGTTAAAAGGATCTGGTACAGTTCGTTGTGAGCAGGGGAACTGGACAGAGCCACCAGTTTGTTTAGGTATGTCTCGTAGGTAAGTGAGAGAATGTTATGGATAAAATGGAAGGGTGCTGTGGGGAATGGATCTGGCCGTTTTGTGAAATCCTGGATTTGTTTAGTCAAAACCAAACAAAGCTCCAGAAATTGTCCATGGTATCTGCTTGTATTGTGGTTGTCTAGTCACATGGTAAATAAATGGTAAATATAGGCTGCTAATACCTAATGGCTGTGACCTTACTGGCCCTGGCTAGCCTGATCTCATCAGATCTCAGAAGCTACACAGAGTTGCTCCTTGTTAGTAATTGGATGATAGATCACCAAGAAATCCAGTGTTGCTACTTCAGAGGAAGGCAATGGCAAACCACTCTGAATGTCTCCTGGCTTGAAAACTCTATGGGGTCACCATAAGTTGGCTGTGACAATGGCACTTTCCACCACCAGTGCCAAATGGCTATAACAATGTTGTATGAACAGCAGGCAAAATCTGTCTGTCAAGTGCAGCAATGGATGCAGGGTGCTTAAAGGCATCAGGGAGCCTGCCCCAGCAGTAACGCCTTAGTGATCCTGGCAGCCCAGCCTCCACAGTGGCTTGCAATACCCCTCCCCCTTCTACCCTGGATAGGCAGCTGCCTGTCAGGTGTAGGAGGGGGGTGGGATGCTTACAGCTGTTGGGGAGACTTGCTCAGCAGGATTACCTTAGCGGTGCTGCTGGGCCAGCTTCTCTAATGCCTTTAAACACACTCCCCCCAACACCAGACAGGTGAGTGTCTGTCAGTTGCAGGAGCAGGGCCAGGGTACTTCATCAGGGAAGCTGCCCTAGCAGAAACACCTTAGCAATGCTGCTGGGCCAGCCTCCCCAATAGTATTAGACACACTCCCACCCACTATGGAAATATACCCCAAATTTGTAGAAAAGTGGTTTCCTGTATTAAGGTTATTTAACTTCTCATAATGTGGGTTCTAGAAAATTGATTCATATGAACTTGCTTAATAGCTGATTGCTCAGATGTTGTTTTGAATACAAAGTTGTGTCCCACTTCTTAAATGTAACATAAATGAGAAGCATTTTTGTAAAGAAAAAATAGTATGCCCTGCAGCCTTCCAAATTATTTATTATTATTATTTGTTATATTTATGAATCGCCCCACCCCTGCTACTGCAGGGCTCTGGGCAATGTACAACCAGAGATAAAACAAGATAAAATTAATTAAAAGCATTAGTACAACATTAAAGGCAATCCGATGGCAAATAACCAATCCTCATTCCAACTCCCACTGCCAGCTATTTCATGGATTGGGGAGAGGAGGGCAAAATAGATGTAAAT